AGGGCTGGCAATTGAGAAGGCATTTCTCCACGCGGCCTTTGTTCACTTGGCACTTTGCAACATACAGCTTCACAGGGTTCTGATTAAGGAGAGGTTAACAGGAGGATGAAGACAAGACGGAGAGGCAAACAGTGACCTGCTTCTCAGTCTTGCCTTCCAGGACATCCTCTTAAACTTCACCATGATCTTCATTCTCTCTATCAAGGGATCCCTCTGGTTTTCTTCTCAGTCCTTTACACCATTCCCTTTACATCAGAGCCTGGACAAAGCCTTTCATGACCAGAGATTCATGCACACCCATAGGTCATCCACTACATAATATACTTTGCAGGAGTCCTACATATTTCCCCCTCTGGCCCTTACTTGTGCTCTGGTTGTTAACATATAGCCAAGACATATAACCATCTACAAGCCTGCCCATGCACTGGACATGTCATCTTTCTCTGAGGCTGTCCATGTATTCCAGAGGAGCAGGAAGCAGGAGCAACATGAATTAGCTTGTAGGAGGACTGGCTCACAACTGTCTCTAATTCCTGACCATACAGCAATAGAACTGTCCAGCCTTCATCATCACACTTCACTTTGATTGTGAGTCTTGGACTTGCTGGGATGACCTAGGTGTTCCTAAGTGCAAGAAAGCTGTGGTGTACTTTATAGGGAAAATACATGTTCGATAAGCTTTGTTCAGACATAAGTTCAATGTTAATAAATCAACAATATGTATTAAACTAGAGGCCCGGTACATGAAATTTTGTGCACTGGGGTGGGGTGGGGGCCCTCAGCCCAGCCTGTGCTCTTTTGCAATCCAGGAGCCCTTGGGGGACATCCTTAGTGCTGCCACGGAGGCTGGAGAGGCTCCCATCACCACCCATGCGCTTGCCAGCCGTCAGCCCGGCTTGTGGCTGAGTGGAGCTCCCCCTGTGGGAGCACACTGACCACCAGGGGGCAGCTCCTGCATTGAGCATCTGCCCCCTGGTGGTCAGTGCACATCATAGACTAGAGAGCAGTTGAGCAGCCTTAGCATATCATTAGTATATTATACTTTGATTGGTTGAATGGCCGACCGGATGACCAGACACTTAGCACATTAGGCTTTTATTATATAGGATAAGGTGCTTTTAAACAGAAAACACACACAAGACAAGGTTATGTATTGATCTATTGATGAGATGTTGTGATCAGAACCTCACAGGAACCTGACCTTGTATTTCCCCTGGGAGCTTGATTATGAGTTTTGGACCTGCTGGGCTGACCACAACTAGCTCCTAGAGCAGTTTAGTTTGACTACCTTAGAAGTCAATTAAACACTAGTGGTCAAACAGGATTACTGGTCCCCAGGGCTTGAAAAATAGCCAGTGACCCAGCACTAAAGTGATGCCTTTTCCTTGAGAACTGGCTTGAAAGGGTTGGGTGAACTCCTCGAGAGAAAAGACTTGGTTGCCTTATCTTTGTGTTCCCAAGCTTGCAGTGCTCGACGTAGATGGTACCCACCACTGACACTGGGATCAGGATTTCACAGACATAGTGACAAGGGATTCTCAAACATCTATTTGAACTAAACTAAAATGGAAGAATACTAAGTAGATTTGAATGAAGCTAAGGAGAAAAGGATAAATTATGTAAATCCAGTCCATTCTTGCTATGCGAGGTAGTTACATTCTATAAAGTCAACCCTAACACTGAATTAGGGAATACTGAACCACTGCTTCCGGGGGAAATACAGGCTTAGCCTGTGAGCCTCCAATCACAACGTTTTCGCCAACTGATCAATACATAACCTTGTTTTGTGTGTGTTTTCTGTTTAAAGACACCTTATTTAATATATATGCTGCTGATTTGTTAATATTGAACTCATGTGTGAACAAAGCTTATCTTAACGTGTATTTTCGTTGTAAAGCACTTCACAGCTCTCTTGCACTTGGGAACACTTGGCGGCACTTCACCAGGCTTGGGGGCCATCTGAAACAGTGAAATCACCAGCACAAAGCACACATATGCAAAACACTTGTCACTAAGTAGACTGCGAAAAGGACACTTGTTCAGCACAAGAACTGAACTGAAGGCAGAAGAACATGGCCCTCAGCTGGGAATGTGTGCATTGGGAGACTCGAACTTTTTACCGCTCTGCACATGCCCACAAATGACCACAGAATTCCTGCAAGTATTGATTTTGAGGTTACAAGTAAATTTTAGCAGGTGAGCAAATTTGCAAATATAGAATTCACAAATAATGAGGATCGATTCTGAGTGTGTGTGTGTTTATCAAACAAAACTCAAACCAAACCCCAACAGAGATGATGCTTCAGATAGTGCAGCCAGTCTCAGTCATCAAGACAGGGACAGTAAAGATGCAAGCAGACCGAGGACAAGGTAACAAGATAACAGACCCAGAGCCATCCATGTCACCACAGACCAACAGTGTGGCTATGTTGCCTGTGGACGCACTATGCTACCATATCCCACCCTTAGCTCCTCTCTCCAAGATTCCTTAGAGCAGCGGTTCTCAACCTGTGGGTCGCGACCCCTTTGGGGGTCGAACGACCCTTTCACAGGGGTCACCTAAGACCATCCTGCATATCAGATATTTACATTACGATTCATAACAGTAGCAACATTACAGTTATGAAGTAGCAACGAAAATTATTTTATGGTTGGGTCACAACATGAGGAACTGTATTTAATGGGCCAGAAGGTTGAGAACCACTGCCTTAGAGTCTATTCCTGGCTCATGGCCAAAACTCCTGCCTGCAAGTCCTGGCATTATGGGCAGCATGCTGTGTTTGTCTAGTTCAAATTGTTGTTCGAGAATCCCTTGTCACTTTTGCCTGTGAAATCCTAATCCCAGTGTCAGTGGTGGCTACCGTCTTTGTCCATTTTGTCATCTCATACACTTGGCCCTTGGCATGAGAGAACCCATCCTCCCTCCACCCAGATTCCTCACCCAGTCTTGTCCCAAGGATTCAGAGCCTACAGGTATGTCTGAGGGCAGCAAGCACAGATGCATAGAGATTTGAGCTACTCTAGTGAGGAACTGACCTCCAACATGCCATCATCCAACCAGCAGCCACCTAAGGGTCCTCTCTTCCAGAGTTGAACCCAGTAGTAGGTGGCCTGGAAAAAAGGGGACTTAGGGGTGGGGTCCATAATTAATCAAACAGCCCCAAGAGCTGTTGCAGACCTTTGGGGAGATGTGACCTGCCTTCTCACCAGCCCCGTGGGACTGTGGGACTCAAGATCAGGAGTCTCCATATTAGTAACTCTGAGCCAATGTCTGGATCATAGATGCTCATTAAAATCTGATGAGGGAATGTGTGAAAAAAAACACAAAAGGGGGGTGGATGGCTGGAGAAACTTTTGTAATTTTATTAGGGAGGGGTTCTACTAAGAACATCAGTGTTGACCCATCACACTAAAAAATAATATACTTATCTTGCACTTTATGTTTTTTTCAAAGCACTTTGATATACAATCCTGTTAATCCTCAGATTAACTGTACATAGTAGAGGGATTATATATTAATGTACCATGTGGTTTAGTTGAAGTAACTGCAACATAGAGAAGTCAAGATATTTGAGCAAGAACATACAGTTAACGAATGGCATGGCCAGCTACCCAGCTCACACATTTCTGACTGGTTTCGTGATAGGAAGCAGGCCCTGATGTGCACCCAGACTCCCCCATGATCACTCAGGAGCAGCTCCTCGACCCCAGGCCCTCGCAGGAAAGGGTCCAGGTGGCTCCCAGTACCCTCGGCCTGGGCTCTGGAAGGCCCACCCTGCAGGAAGTGCAGGCTTCAGGCCAGAGGAACGAGAGACGTGGCAACAGAGTCAGAGCCAGCGATGCTGCCGGTCTGGTTCCCCAAGCTGGGGAGCAGGCTGCCGGGAAGCCGAGCGGGCATCCTGTGCCAGGCCAAACAGGCAATTAGCACCCACAGAAACCCCGCTGCCCAGCGATTACTCAAGGTAATGAAACTCCAGGCCTGCTGATTCCCGGGACAGAGGGCAGGTGAGCCTGGAGCCTGTGTTTATAGAGGGGACCCACACAGGTCCCGAGGCCTCTGATTCACTCTGTCCTCCAAGTTGAGAGCTCAGCAGCTCAGGGAGCCAGGCTGACCTCCGTGTCCTTGTTTTGGACTTGGTTTGCTCTTCCCGCTCTTGGTGGCTGCAGCCCTGTCCTTCCCTTTGCCTACCTCCACTCAAGACTCCTGCATAGAGCTCCTTTCTGGATACCTTTTTCAGGTTTCTCTCCCTCCAATACATGCCCAATGCTAATTCCTCATGGCTCCCAGTCCCATACCGTAGTTCATCACGTTCCCATCCTCCTTCCCTGGCTTTGGATGGGAACTGCCTTCCTTCCCTTACCAGTACTTTCCCCACACCGATCCCATAGGTAATGCTGGGCTCACAGAGAAAGAGAAGAGGCAGCCGGTAGAGAAACTGGCGCTGGCCAAACAGCACACCGCTGACACTGCCTGGGATTCTGAGGCTGGCTTTCCAACCCGGGACAAGCAAGCCACAGGGGAAGGAAGATACGGGCAGAGATCAGGGATGGAGGTCCGGCCCGGGGTGCAGTTTCCCTCATTCCAAGAAATAGTTTGATTTGGATGGGAAGGCAAGCTCTGAGGTCAAGGTCTTGGGCTTCCCCAAGGACATGCCTGTCTCGTGGATTAGAAAGCTATTCATGTCAACTGGGGAGGAAGTTCACTGGCAAGGACAGACACAGGGGTTAGTGCAGGGCGCTGTGGGTCAAGGGAGAATGGAAAGATGGGGACCTACACAGTGACCTCAAGAAGGCATTTTCTTGGAGGGTCAGAGGACACAGATGGAGTGAGGAGAAGGGTGGGAGGACATACCCCTTACCAAGACCCTGTGGCTCCCAGTGGCTGTGAGAACTGGCATGTGCCATGGACACGGTAAGGAAGGAGACATGGAAAATGCAGGGGTTTTCTTCAGGGGAAATCTTGCTTCCTCTCCTTCTTCCCGCCCTCGGGGAGGACTCACCTGAAGAAGCCTTTGCAGCCTTCACAGGTCATAGCGTTGAAGTGAAAGCCTGTGGCTCGGTCTCCGCACACCCCACAGATCCGAGGCACATTCCGATCAAAGTCGCCAGGGTCAGGCAGGGAAGTGCTGGCCGCCATCGCCTCCATCCCTGCAAGAACAGCCAGCAGTTGTGGCCAGAGCCAGAGTCAGTGTCAGTGCCGGGGCCAGCGGGCATCCTGGGCACCCCCTGCCCCATCTATCGGGAGCTCCGTGGAGCTGGGCAGCTCCCCAGGCCTGAGCAGGATTTCTTTGGTGCCCTCACTACATGACTCTCCACATCCCAGCTTACCCTCCTGGTCACCAGCAGGAGCAGGGCTCCCTTTCCCAAGAAAGCAAATCTGTGGGTGACGCTGTGGTGAAGTTGCTCATAGTCTGGGTGCGAAGGCTGCCTCTGCCATGTACTAGCTGGGCTACCCTGAATGAAGTGATTAGCTTCTCTGTGCCCCACTGTCCTCGTCTGAAGAATGGAGTTTTACTTTAAAGGTTGAGAGGAAGGACTATATGAGTGAACATATGTGCACCACTGGCATCAGCTCCACTGGCATCAGCAGCAGGTCAGAGGCCTCTCTGTTACCCAGAGCCCAGTGCCCCTTCAGGAGAAAAGGAGAGGACCACCCATAGCCTTAAGACCTCACATGCACAGAGGACCTCTTATCCCCTCGGTTCTTGAAGGCGAGGGAATAAAGGACTCACACGCCCAAATCTGGGCCCTTGTCACTCCTGTCCCAGTTCCTCACAGCCATCCGGCTCAGGACCCACAGGCCTTGTGCCCCTGCTGTGTTTACCAAGGTAATCAAGCCTCTTCCCTCTCCCCCGCTCCCCCCCCCCCCCGCCCAGTATAAATTTAGCACATTCTTTTCAATGTCTTTCTGAGTAATGTGAGTCATATACAACGAACTGGTTTTGTTTTCAGAGATGGCTTTTATAAATAAGCATTATCATCTAGAGATGGATTTCAAACTTGAGAAAAGGGGGAAAGAGATAGAAGGAACAAACTATAATAGTTCAGAGAAATCCTTTTCAGGAAACAGCTGACGTGACTCTCCCATTCGGCTCGCTGGGCCCTTGGCTCCACCTGCTGCCTCTGATCCTGAACGCGGTCAGCCTCAGAGCTGCTTCTGGGGAACCTCGGGCCTCCCTGAAATGGGTTCAGGCCCTGCTGCCTCCCAGTTTTATCTGAGTCCTCGCAAGGGTCATCACAGGTGTAAGTGGCCCCTTGGCCCCACAGTAGGAGGGTCCCTCAGGTCAGAAGAAAAATAAGAGAGAAGGCCAGTTATGAGGGGATAAGCACCCTTCTGTGCACCCTCCCACCCATGCTCTCTGGGCCAGGGTTTGACACATCAAAGCCCATGAGAGTTTTATTTCAGTTTATCTTCATATCACCCCAATGCGGGGAGTGCTATTATCACTCTCTTTACACATGCGGTCCCAGAGAAGCCCAAACCTTGAGGTATCTCTAGCAACTATGATTATAAAATGCACAAAATGAATACTTAATTTTTTTAAAGTTCCACAAAGAGCTTCAAGCCAAGGGAAAGTGGGACAGATAAGGATATGGAATGTCAGTCCCAAAGGCACAGAGGGGCCCTGACCGCAGACAGGTGTAGTAGGTCCCCTGACTTTCTCCTTCAGCTCTTCTTCTCCTGGGAACTTTTATGTAATAATAGTGACACTGTTACCTCTTCCTATTGCAGCTAGATTGACACCTGTTCAACTATAATGTTTATATATACTGAGGGAGGGAGAGAGAGACAGAGAGAGAGAGAGGTGGGAGGGGAGAGAGAAAGAGAGACAGAGAGACAGAGCAGCAGAGAGAGAAACACTTTAAGAAAAAGAACAATGCAGCCCTGGCTGGTGCGGCTCGGTTTGTTGAGTGTTATCCTGTGCACCACGAGGTTGCAGGTTTGATTCCTGGTCAGAGCACATGCTCGGGTTGCAGGCTCAATCCCCAGTAGGGGGAGATGTTGTGTCCTCACATTGATGTTTTTCTTTTTCCCTCTCCCTTCTTCTCTCTCTAAAAATCAATAAACTATTTTTTTTTAAAAAAAGAATAATGCAATGATTAACAGAAACCTTTGTTAACCTTTGAGGGGGTGAGAAGGGCATGGGAAAGGGCATGTGGAGGCATTATGTAGTAGCCACATTCTATTTCTTTGAGTGGTAAGTATACGGTATCTTATTATTAAAACACGATTTTATGTTTTATAGGCCTGTCTGTATATAGAAAACATTTCACAAATTTAAAACAATTTAAAAAGAAAAAAAAAAGTGACTGTGGGTCTGTCCACAGTGTCCCTATAATCCACCCCAGGTCTAGGCTGACTCCCTGGGCTACGAGAGTATCACACACATCTAACATTTGGGCAGGGATCCCAGAGGCCCAATCGCACTGCAGGGCAATAAGAGAAACTGTCTAGGATGCCTGTGGCTTAACCCCAGGTCAGCTGAGATGTTGCAACTCCCAGTCATCATGACGTTGCCACAGAGTCTGCATCATCTAAGAGCCCAAACATCTGGTGGAAAAGAGAAGTCAGATGTGGGGGTGGGGGAACATCAGTCAAATCCGTGTAAGAAATGTTCGGCGTCACACGGGCTCACTGGGAGACGTGATGAAACACGGGGGCTGGGAGGACTTGACATCAGCAAGGCTCCTGGCGGAGCTCTGGGTTAGGCAGGCCGGAGGGCTGGGCCCGGCAGCCAGAGGCTTCCGGTGAAAAGCACAGTTTTCGGGTGAGCTGAGAGAAAATGCAGCCCTGCGTGGGGTTATTTGCTGATGCCAGGAAGCCAGAGTCGAGGACCAGAGTCCAGAGTTGGAGAAGAGGCCTAGGCATTTATGGCCTGGGGCCTGGCAGTCCCACGAATGGTACACAGGAGGAGAATGGAGGGCAGGAGAGAGAAAGAGGAGCTGCGAGCAGGAGAGGAGACATCACCATGCTGGACGGTCCCCGGGGGTCCCAGCCTGGGAGGCAGCAGGCCCCTCCCTCTGAGCCCCCACTGCCTCTCTGGCAGGTCTCTGGGCCTCAGCTGAGGGCTGCTTCGAATTCTGCTGACACAGGACCAACCCGCATGTGCGAAGCCCCGGGTAGTGACCTCTTCCTCCCCCAGCCCAGCACCTTCCCATGGCCCATCCCGCCCCGGGAAACAGAAAGTCAGGGTGGAACACCCACCTGGAGGAGCAGGGGGCAGGTAAGGCGAGCCCAGGGGTCCCTTCTGTGAGGTCTTGCAGACACTTCTGACCGAAAGGGCTCTGAAAGGAAAAGAGAGGGAACATTTTATTTACAGCTCAGCATTGACCTCAAGCCCGTCCTCTAAGGAGCCCAGCGAGCCGGTGACAGAGGGACTGAAACCTGACAGAGTGACTTGCTGAGGGCAGGCGTGCCATGTCAGAGCGGGCAGGGGTGAGGGGCGGGAGCCAGGCAGCACGGCCCTCCCCGGGGCAGGCAGTGGCAAGGAGCAGCGAGGGCAGTGGGGACTGGAGGTTCTCCCCTCGCAGAGAGGGTGTCAAGGGGAGGAGGGCTTCTTTATAAGGGGGCACTCCTGCTCCATAGCCCTCACCCCAGGTGTGAGGGGTGTTCGGAGAAGTAGAGCCACAGGGTGGCCTGGAGGGCACCCCATGTAGGACACAGAGGAGCCCAGGGGAGCTGGGGGCCGTAGGCTGGGGTCCCGCCCAGGGCCTGGCCGGCTTCAGTGACAGGTGTCTGGGATCTCTTGTCTGCGGAGACTGGGTGTAGGCGGCACAGTGCTGCAAGGGTTAAATCCAGCTGCGCACTCGCAAACAGGATGTTTTCTGCCACTTTTAGCTCTTCCCCAGACAGTTTCTCAACTCCCCCGGCCTCAGTGAGGGCTGAAGGTGACTCTGCTGCCCAGACTCTGGGTTTTAGTGGCTTGACGGGTCACCAAGGTGGGGCTGGCAGAACTTCACTCTCCCCACTTCCACCCACACCCAGCCCTGCTTATCCACCCGTAGACACACACACACACACACACACACACCCTCCCTTCACTGATGCCAATAGGAGGTGGCTGGGGTGATATATAGATATGCAGGTGTCTGACGCTGCAACCTGGTGACAGCCTCCCCGATGGGGAAGGCTTAGACCCCCAACTTTGGTCTCCCTGCCTCCTAGTGGCCCGACTAGACAGGGAAGGGGCTTCCAAGATCTGGGCCCAGGCCTAAGGCTGCCAGCCCACTGAGCCCACTTGCCACCCTCTCAGGCACTGCCAGCCCCATGGAACATCCGGGGAAGACATCAGTGAATCACGAGCTGAGGTAACCTGGGCTAGGCTGGCCCGCTGCCCAGGACCTTGGTGGGAGGAGGCATACCTGCTGGGGACAGGCATGTTGTCACTTACCCCCAAGCTAAGTTCTCCTTTGCTCCCTCTACTTGTACTGCCCAAGGCCCCGGCTGACCATGCACTTCAGGATTCTACCCCTTGGCCTTACCAACCCTCAGATGCCCTGTTTGCTCCCAGAGGCTGAGGTGAGAGCCCAGTGGGAACAGAAAGGACCCCTGCTTTCCTGCCCTTCACCTCTAAGATGCTCACAAGTCACACATGAAATCCAGGTAGACACCACTCTTGAGTTTAAAAAATAAAGTGCATGGAGTACCTACTGTGTGCCAGCCTGCTAAGCTCGCACGCAGGATCTCACGTCAGCTCATAACATCCTGTGAGGTGAGCAGCAGCCCCTTCTGCAGATGGCAGCACCAAAGTCCAGAGAACTCTGAGTGACTTGCCGTGGGTTCCATGGCCAGGCAAGTGGGGTGCCAGGGGTCACACGAGGACAGGCTGACTGCCATGCTCATGTGCGTCCCTTGCCTCCTGCTGGCTCCTCCCATCCCAGCGATAAGCATCAGCATAGACACTATCACTCTGCCAGGCCCTGCCCCAAGTTCTTCACAAGCACTCACTCATTTAGTCCTCACAACAACCTCGAGGTGGGTACTGTTATTATTCCGATTTCAGGAGTGGGAAACTGAGGCACAGAGAACTCGATTGTGTCTGGAGCTCAGATATGAACCTAGGCATCTTAGCCCGGAGTCTCTGCTCAGTTGCCGTTCCCAAGGGAAACATCTGTCATTTCCCCAAGCCAAAGCCCTGGACACCTCTCACTTCTGAGTCAGGGAACAATGAAAAGAATAACCCCCCAAGCCACGAGGGGAAAATGTCTTTTCCTCCCAAGGCTCCCAAAATCAGGGAATGGGAGGCCTCAGTCAGGACTCCATTCTGCCATTCAACTCTTATTTTTGTAATCCTCACCCGAGGATATTTTTCCATTGATTTTAGAGAGAATGGAAGAGAGAGGGAAAGACAGAGAGAAATATTGATGTGAGAGAAACACATCAATTGGTTGCCTCCTGCACATGCCCTGACCAGGGCCCAGGCTGGGGAGGAGCCTGCAACAGAGGTACATGCCCTTGACCGGAATCAAACCCGGGACCCTTCGGTTCACAAGATGACACTCTATCCACTGAACCAAACCGGCTAGCGCCAACCAGCCCCTCTTATCTGGGAAAATACCATTCCACATACCGGCCTCCCCTCCCCATGCAGCTGGGCGCTACTGGATGGTCCTTGTCAGGGAGATTATCTTAGGTGTAGCTCTCAGGTCCTAGTGCATGGAATGTGAGGCAAAGACACAGGGTGAAAAAAAAGGACAAGTGGAAAAACACCACTTACTACCAGCCCCCTTTACCACGTCATAACTCCCACCCCCAACTCATGTTCTGAGTACACAGAACGTCCCACTACTTTTGCTGGGGCTGTCCCCACAGCAACCCCCTCCTGCCTCTGCTTTAGAAATACCCAAAGCCCCAGCGCAGAGCCATAGAGAGGCAGAGGGGGTGGAGCTCAGCCCTGCAGAAAGCCCCTGGCTTCCATTCCTCTAGGGTCTGCATCCCACATCAAACGCCTGCCTGAACCTGACCCCAGGCCTGACCTCGCTTTTGCAAGAAATGAAGAGATAACAGGTTTCCTTCCAGTCATCCAAACCAAAACCACTGCCTCTCTGGCACGTCTGCCCATCAGCTCACACAGCAGGCACCCCATCTTCCAGTGGCTTCTGGGAAATGGGCATCCCAGGCCAAGTCTCATCAGGTCAGCCTCATGGAGTGGTGTCTGCAGGGTGTCCTGGGCAGAGCCCAGGCAAGACAAGGATCAAAGAGCCACTGGGCTCAGGGTCACGCCACCACATTCACTGGACTCTCCTCAGAGCCCTGAGGGTGCTATAGCTGTGACTCTGGGAGGACAAGTGGTGGACAAGAGGTCTGACCTCTCAGACCTTTGCTGCTCTGAAAATGTGCCACCCCAAGGCCAGAATCCCCATCACGATGAGGCCTAAGACCATTCAGGAGTGAGATTCCCTCACCGAGCTTTCCCTGACCCCCAGGAACCAGATGAGTCCCAACGTACATGCTAGTGCAAGGGAGGCCCACTCACCCTCAGAGGCTAAGGAGCAGAAAGGGCAGGAGTGATGTGGCCCCTAAGGAGCTCCATTGGGAAGGGAAGCCCAGGAGCGGGGCCTAGCTCAGCGGGCTTGGAACTGGAGTGATCAAAACTGGGCTTTCCAATTGTTGACACGGACACAAGATCCTCCTCTGTCTAGAAAGAAACGGAAAGCGAAGTGATTTCCCAGAAGGGGAGAAAACGCTGCTGCTTCCTAAAATTGGTACAGAGTCAACCACACGTGGGCTCTCTGGAGCAGGCAGGCCCGTGTGGATGCCAGCCACAACTGTGCATGTGCGTGCACGCCCTTTCCTCGCAGCTTCTCATTTACTCATCCTTCCAGCTCTGCCCATAGAGTGGTGAACACTGTTTGACCCACCTTATTCTTTATTTGGCATCTTTTTATGCCACTGTAACTTAGGCACAGCAATATCATGGCCAGCCAGCGTGATGCCCCTTCTTCCTTCTCCACTAGCCCAAACATATACCCACACTCTTTTTCCAGAGCAGTCTCAGCCTTACCTACCTCCCAAAAGAAGCCGAGGGGGAACAGGGCAAAAAATGAGGGCAAGAAGAGAGGAAGCGAACTATAGAAATGGATACCTTGTGCAAACCACTTCTTACCCCCGTTGTCTCCCCAGCTCCTGCATGCACATGTTTTAAATATGGGTGATAACGGTTGGAAATTATTTTCTGCAGACTACAATGTCCAAAGTAAAACCAAACAGATACCAGTCATCTCAGAACATCTCAAGATGGGAAGGAAACTTCACACCACCTAGTCTAACCACCTAACCGCCCCCCCATAACATTCTAGCCAGTTTGCTAGCCTGCGCTTGAACATTTTTCCTCATGGAGAACAATCTCCCAGGGCAATCCACTCTCTCTGGATGGCTCTATGTTTAGAAAGTTCTTCATTATGTTGCTTAGATCACTGGTCCTAGACCAGCTCTTTGCAGCCACCCAAGATAAACCTAGTAGGCCATTCCCACAGGGTCTCTAGAGGAGGGGTCAGCAGGGCCACCACATGGTGCCACTGTCCAAATTAGAAAAAGGGGCCCATTTCCCATCTGCTGAAAAATTGTCATGGAAAAGAAAAAAAGGAAAATTGTTATGATGTGAGTGAGGTGAGAAGCAGGGGAGAAGCAGAGGAGGCTAGACTGGGCTACATTGAATTTGATTTGACCTCATAAATTTGCCAGGTATGATCTTGAGTCCCACAGGGTAAGTAAGGGTGAATGCAGACAGCATCGGCCTCCGTGGCCTTCACCTGGGGAGAACAGTCTTCAGCCCAAGAAAAGGACGCTGTGGAAGAGTGTGAACAGCTGCATGAGCTCTACCAAGCCTTCCTGCCTCCTCCGTCTGGGGTTCCATTGTTTCCAGGGTAGGCTGGCCCCAGCACTGAGCTCGAAGACACATATGAGGTGCACCGAACTATTTAATGACTGACTGAATGATGGGAAATGAAGTGGCTGATGACTCAGCAGTTGCACGAAGGAGTTTAGCCCTGAAGGTGCTTCTTTTTTAAAAATTTGACTTTAGAGAGAGGAAGGGGGGGTGGATAGAGAAGAGAGAGAGAAAGATTGATGTGAGAGAGAACATCAATTGGTTGTCTCCCACGCGTGCCCCAACCAGGGATTGAACCCGCAATCTCAGCAAATAATTCTTTGGGGAATAGACAGCACCTTGGAGAAACTTCTAAAAGTCAAGGGCTGACGCCCCATGCAGTGTCAAGGGTTAACAGGTCACTCCAGAGAAATGAGATAACAAACTCCCTGGCCTGGCCATTCCCCAGGACTTCCTTGGCTGCCTGTCCTGTCACTCTTGAGAGCACTGGCAGCTTCTTGGAGCCAGGGTCCCACGAGGCCTCAGGCCATGGAGCAGGAGATACATAGCTTACTTTGATATATTTCCATTTCTTATCTACAGCAATTATTCCTGCAAGCTGCTTTTTTCCAGTGGAAACTCTGCCCTCAGCCTTGTCAACAAGATTTCTGGGTTGATTACTGCTCCCCAGGTAACAGGCAGGCCATGCCCTGTCACTGCTGGAAAGTGTGGGCAGCGGCAGTGGCCAGTGAAGCATAGGGCACCAACCCATTCATAAGCTACAGCCCAATATCTCTGGTTTTACAGTTGAAGAAACTGAGACCATCCGAGGGGGAGCGACTTGTCCAAAGCCACACAACGAGGGAAAGTGACTCTCCACCTCCGCCCTGGCCAAATCCCAAGACCTCTCATCACCAGCCTGAGCAGCTTCCAGGGGGATAGAGTCGGGTGAGAGAGAAACAGGCCACGGGAGGAAAGGGAATTTCATTCTTCAGAGGAGGGGAGCTGTGGGAGGCCACGAAGGAGGCCTCGTGTAGACTGCAGTAGGACCACCCAACACAGCCTCCATCCATACACGCAATACAGAGAAACAAAGAGGTGGGTGGTCCTGCATGACCAACTCCAGCTCCCGTGCTCTGGCCTCCACGGCCTGAAGAAATGGACGAGGACTGAGGACAGGGAATACTTTAAAGCAGGGGTGGGGAGCGTCTGGCCCGTAGGCCGTATAAGGCCTGCGAAATCATTTGGTCTGGCCCTGACAAGGCATTAGGAGTGACTTAACTAAATGTGTGACTAAATATAGGCTAATTTTTAAGTTGATAATTTTGTATGGCCTGAGAATATTATAAATGTCTAAATGGCCCTTGGCATAAAAAAGGTTCCCCATCCCCATTTGAGAGGGAAGTAGGATACGCCTGACCTGCTCTCTCCCTCTTCTGGGTTGCTTTCCTGAGATACCAGGATGAGGGTACTTCCCTGGGGTATCAGCTACAGGCGAAAGTTGATAGGGCAGGGAGACTCTGTGTCCGGTGACTTGGAGACCAAGGAATAGAAACCAAGGCAGCCCAAAGGAAAAACATCAAGAATACAGGGCGAGTGAGGCTAGCCCTCTTCGGGGAGACCTGAACCCCTGCTGTTGCTGATGCAGTTGATGGGTAATGAAACCCCCCCTCCCCACATAAGACTCCAATGGCCGCAGAACAGCAGGAGAGGGCTGCTTCTTTTCCCCAAGAGATTCTCAGCCCAGTTTTTAGCCTCTACCCAGACGAAGCATTCCCCCAGCCCAAGTCCACCCTTGCCCAGACAGATGGCTTGGAGGCCCGCTCCACCCACAGCCTCCCTAGTCAGTCTTCTTTTCCTCATTTTTCTTCTGGGACCAGTGTGATCTCTGAATCACTCAGACTTTTCCTGTTCTGTATGAAGGACAGTACCCAACCCCCGGGCCCGCCAGCTCTGAGATACTCAAGATCCTTGGCATCACATCCCTTGTTTACCTCACAACCAACATGGCCAGCTGACGCCCTTGGTTACCCAACCACCATCCAGCTCTCCCCAGCCCATCCCCGAGACACGATAGCACTGCTGTCTCAGGGCTATTGCGGGGACCAAGATATCTGGGTTGCACTCAGCACGGATCCTGGCACACTGTGGTTTTATATGTTAGCTCATTATTAGAACTATAGCTGTTATACAATAGTTGGTGAGCTGAGGGCCTGGAAAATGAGAAGACTTGCAGGGCCCAAAGAGGTGCTGTGTGGGCGGGAAGCCTGCTCTCACCCCAAACGCTCCACTCCAAGCAAACATTGCCCAGAGAGCCACATTTCTGCTGAACAGGGAAGAAACTGACCACCCCACCCATTGGCTGTGGCTTCCAAAAATCTGGCTGCTCAGGGTGGGGAGAAATGGATCGTTCTACTGTCTCTCCAACGAGCAGGGCGGCTGAATCACACATCTGGACTTTTCCTCCATAAGGAAGGTAAGGCCTGTGGCTTCTAAGGTGTCACTGATTACTAACCTTTCTCATGCTCATCACCCTTCCCTTCCCTCTGTCACGCAGCACTGTCTCTCTCCTACCTCCTATGTCATCTAGAGCTTGTCCTACATCTGTCATGCATCTGTTCTCCTCTTAGTGGGGCCTGAAGCTCAGCAACCCCATCATGTCCCCCTGTTCGTCATCAAGGCAGTGGCACCTCCTCCCCCACCCATCAGCGCAGGCAGCAGAAGGCAGAGCACTGGGAAAGGCTGCAGTGGGGTGCCAGGGGGGCGGAACCTGAAGGTGGCAGTGAAGGCTGAAGATGCCCTGGCAGCAGGTGGCCCTGCTGTGGCCCCTAACCTGGACACTGGGCTGGCTGTGGCTCAGTGGGCCTGGACTCCTGGTTGCCTCCAGCTCTTGGAGGCTTTGGGAGGCCAGTCACTTATCGTGGGATAGATTCTGAAGCCTCTGTCAGAATCAGTAAAGGAACCCGGGTCCTCTGAGACGGGGAGGGCTGGGATAACTCTCTATCAGGCAGCTTCCATCCCATCAGAGGATGACTTACCCAAAGGCACCCTCTCTATCTTCTGGGTTGTTCGCCAGGGTAGACACTCCTCATGTATTCATGAAGCTTCTAGGGCTGAGGCCAACAGGGAGGTTCCCATTCACCTAGAGAGCAGAGCAGTCACCCTGGGTGAACCAGCTGCTCCTCAGGTCCTGATTAGAATGATTCCCCCCTGGAGAGCTTTTCCAGAGCTTCTGTATGGTCAGGTTCCAGCATTCTTCTGCGTAGATTTCCTCTGGGGGACCCCTTGAAAGCCAGGGGGGCCACAGCATTTCTTCTTGGCAGGCATTGGTTCTGGCCTCCTATGCCTTATCCTTGATGGTGACCCTGCCTGGTTTTAAGTACTTGACTACGTGGCAAGCCCTGTGTTAGAAGTCACAGACATGATGGCGAGCCACACACAGACACTGCCATCTTAAAGCACACAGTGTACTGGGGAGGCCAACAGGAACTACAGTTCAGTGCAGTCCATGCTGTGGTACAGGTATGCACAGTGTGATGAAGTGTGCAGGAGAACATCTGGCCTGTGTTGGCCAGGTAGAGAAGATTCTTTAGAGAAGGTGACTTCTCAGCCTCTCCACTGAGACAGGCAGTGGTAAGAAGGAGAACAAGGGTCCCTAGCAGATATGCATGTGCAAAGGCTAAGCAGCAAAAGGGAAAGAGTGTAGTTGAGGCAGAGAAACTAGCTCTGTATGGCTGGAAAGAGAGAGGGGGCATCAGGAAGAGATGGAACAACTGGCCTTTTTAATAGGAAGTATATTCTATTCTTTCTTCTACTGCATACTTCTTC